TGCACTTTCTTTGCCATGTCAACAAAAATGTTTAATAGATATTCATTTTGAACAATATAAGTGTTTAATAGGTACGAACCTTTCTTGAGGTGTCTAACTGAAATATGTGGACAACTTTAAGTGTCTGTGTATGACTTAAGCCTTTACATTTATTTAATATAAACACCCAATGCACATAAATTTTTTTCTAAAAAACCAACAACCTATATATGATGTAATCCTAATATTAGTTTAATCCCTAGAATAGTTAATGATTAGAGTGTAATCTAACTACTATAATATAACAGATAGTTGTGGCATAAGAACCACCAATATATATGTGCATAAATTATCTAAGAAGAGAAACGTAAAGAGTTGTATCTTTTTACATTCTATATTGTTCAACAATTTTTTTCACTATGAAATACAATATCATTTATATAAAACTTGTTATTTGCATAATTCAACGATGGTTTAATATATTATCATAAGAAGCTCACGATTGATTGACACATTTTCTTGCAACTTGAAGAGTGCATTGGCAATCGTCTATTCGTATACATCATAATTAATATGTAAAGATGGAGTGATCGTGGAATAAAGCTTTTTCACTAAAAACAGTTAATTAATAATTAATACATGCACCAGAAAAAATTTAAATAATTAATTAAGAAATGCACCACAAAACATCTATTACTTTTAAACTACCATAAATTATTTATTGCACCACAAAACATCTACTTATTACTTTCCAACTACTACTATAACTTATTTGTTCAATAATTTCATGAGTAAAATTTCCCTGATGGAGACGGGCAAGAGAAGACATGCTATATATTATGTAGCTTTCTTGAAATTGTTTAACTAGCAAAAGTTTGCAGTGAATTTTTTTAAAACGTGACCCACGTTATTTTTGTCGTAAAAATGACTCCATAACTAACCTAAATACATCGATTTTATTTTCTTAAATAAGAATATTAATGTATTCTTTTAAAAATATATATATATACATATAATTTAAAAGTTTACATTCAGATTTCATTGCTAAGGCCTCAAAGTTATTAAATGATAATATGTATAAATACAAATAATTATGTATTTATTGTTCCTATTATGTACTTACTTTCTACTTCTTATAAATTTGTCTAATTCACTTCAATTTGAATCAATTATATTTTAAAATTATTTTGTAAAATTGTCTTTCATTCTTTGAAAAAATGTCTCTTAGACATTTCAAACTCAAATTAATTAGGTTATCATATAATTAAATTTAGAAAGACAATGTCTTTACTTTGAATGCCTTCTAAAGCGGAACAATCAGAATGACTTAAAACTACTTTTGTAATTAAATGTAATACAATATATATACAAATAAAAATGATGCTCTAATTGCTATACTCAATCAAGTAAAACCTCAATTTTATTTTATTTGATATTACTACTTCCAGAATATTTAGATGGTTTTTATAATAATTTATTCAATCGTAAAAATTTCAAACATAATCAATAAGAAATTATTTAAGATAGACACTTTTAGCATTATATAATGTATCATATATAATTTAGATATGCCTATTCATGTCTTACAAATTATTACAAGAAATTTTACGTTGACAATTAAAAATAATAACAATTAATTATTACAAATTTATGAAAAGAATGTGTGTATATATATAAAGCATAAGATCTCTTTTTTAAAAAATTTAGCTTCAGATCCTCTATACTATTGAACCGTCTAGAAATGTGAGTGCTGACTTAAAATTGTTTGAGGGAATGTGCACGACAAATTCTAAACGTGCATTTGGGTGTATCATCAATGGAATTCATTAGTAGTTGAGAGTTCACTTTTTTTTTTGTTCAATTTCTAAATTGGTGTTTCTTTTAGAAGCAGTGTTTTAAAAGGAAAAGTAGTGCTTTAATATATGTGGGTGTAAGGTGAGACGTTTTATGCAGAAATATTTGGCTAAAATTATTCCTAGATTATGATAAAAAAAATTCAAAATCTAAAGCATATCCTTATGTTATATAAGTGAACAAAAAAATCCTTAAACTATCCAAAAAGTTGCAAGATTTATCCCTTTGTCTATATTTTTCTTTAAAGGAATTCACGTACCAACAAAAAATGTGTCAAGTCGAATGAATTATATTCAGACAAAATATATATTCAATTTCTGAATATTCTTGGAAAAAACAAACACTATTCCAACTTAAAAAGTTTCAAATAAAGTAATTACTTTCTATATTCATAATAACTAAATATCTATGTAATTTCACTAAATATCCAGCATTTTTATACATGGTATAAAATGTGAAAATTATATATATAATATATATCCTTCAATATTTTACTAAAGAAAATCTCTAAATAGTTGGATGTAATATATTTGAAATGAAATTTTTTTACATAATCTTTTTAACCTTCGGAACGTACTGTACGAATATTTTAAAATTATGTATTGGTGCAAGTCAATTTACTTGATGATGCAAAAAAAAACATACTCTATAAACTAACAACGCACCAAATTTAAATTCAAGATTCACTTCCTATCCATATACTTATTCTTTTTAGGTAATTTTTATCTTTTCGTCGTGGCCAAGACATGACCAAATAAAAAAAATATTCTTTTAATTGGCTCAATCAATTTCTTAACAAAAATAGAAGGATAATTCTTGTTATTTTTTGGATAGTATAAGGATGTATTTTGCTCACTTAGATAATATAAGGATATACATTAGATTTGAGTCATAGTTGAGGGATGATTTTAGCCAAAAATTCTTTTATGCAACATAAATATGAGAAGTAAGTATCATAAATTTACGAGATATACATCTAATATATACAATTTTATAATTTCATTACTAAGAAAATAAGTAAAGTAAATCATTTAATAATTTTTCAAAATTTTTTTAATAAATAAACAATTATATAAAAAAATATTGTAATTATCATTTGAGAAAGTATTAATAACCATCTAGAAAAAAATGCCAAAACTATTATTTGAGAAATGTAACAACTAACAACACATAAATGATAATAGCCAGAAATGAAATCATTATATATATATATATATGATAGAAGAAGACGGATAGAACACGTAAGAGTAATGACAAAAAAATAGTGTTGTGAAAGCTCTATCTTACCATTTTTAAACATGATTGTCTAAAAAATTATGTATGACAATGTCATTTTATATGAGAGTTTATTTTAGGAAAAGTCACTATAACTTAAAAAAAATATAATAGCATAAAATATAAATTGATTTTCAATATTGAAGAATATAATTTAAAACAAAAATGGTTTAAAAACCAAAAAAAAATAAATTAATATCCAAGATGTATTCTTTAATGTCTAGGATTCACGTGTTTACGTTCAGTACTTACGCCCCGAATTCTTAGACTTACGTTATATTGATTTACACATTCAATTTGCATCCCGAAACGTTTTTGATACGTCGTCACATGACTCGCCCCAAAAATATTTTTAAAAATGAAAAAGGGTCAAAATGTCTTTTATCTATGTGAAAGGAACAAAAATGTCCCCCCGTTTATAGTTTGGCTAAAAATTGTCCTCACCATCAAAGTTGTGCATACCCAAAGTTGAATGACATATATGTGAAATAAGGTCTAGTTAAAGGGCACATTTATATATTATGCCTAAAAAATACGACATTATTACAAATGTAAGTATTTCTTCATATAACATATTTATGTAAGTTTTCCTCACAACTAAATGTTTGTTATTATGAATTTTCAAATACACATAATTTTATATAAGCTCACCAGTAAGTGATAGTATTAATTAATTATTCTTTAATATAATCCTCTCACATGGTACGGATAATCTCTTTATACTGAGTATGATTCCTTTTTACAAAAAAAAATAATTAATAATTAGTCTTTCCTTTTTAAATATGAAATACTTTCTAGTTTTATATATTATTGAAATCTTAAATTATGTTTTTGTAAAGGGAAAAGAGTCTGATAATATTCCTCAACTTTGCCATTTGGAGCTGATTTACTCCTCTTTATGAAAGTGACTCATATATGCCCTTACCGTTATATAAATGACTCACATATACCTCTACCGTTACAAATGAGCTCACATATACCCTTCATTTAATGGAAGTTAAAAAAATAGTCTTAAATTTATATTTTTTACTTTTACTTTTTAAATTTTTTTAGGAGTAATATCAAAGTTCAAGGTATATTTTAACTTTTTTCATACATAAATTATTTTTTGACTTCTTTTATTATAATTATTTGATTTTTTTATTCTTATTTAATTCTTTTTCTTTCATTCCTTAGTTTAAAGAAAAAAAATTTAAACTATCTTTTTTGTATATATTGTAATTTGATTTTTAAATTCAAAGAAAAAATTTGGTCATCTACAATAAGTTTTACAAGAATATTAGTGAAACATAAATAAATTTGATCATCAAAATATTAATTCTAAATTAGTCATTGAAACCAAAAAAGTAAAAAAAAATATTGTTTGACGAGGATTAAATTTACTCATATGAGATTATATTTTTTAGAAAAAATAATAAAAAATTAGATTAAGATTTTTTTTTTCATTTTCGTTAGAGGAAAAGGGTATATGTGAGTCATTTGTTTATAAACAGAAGTATATATGAGTTACTTTCATAACAAGAGGTATATCATCTTTAAATGACAAAGTTAAAAGCTTTTTTTTAAAAAAATAAATTGAGATTTTGAATCATAGTCCCAAATTATATGTTCAAAATTTGTAACTTTATATTGCATGTCCATACACAAAACAAGAAAACATTGATATCTAATCATATCAAATCTAGGGATGATTGTGCAGTGTTCCCCACTAAAATGACATATGAAAAAAGAAATAAAATGTTAAATTACCTTTCATTAGAACTTATAATCATTAAGTATCTAAAATATTTTTTAATCCATAAATTTCTAAAGTCTATAGTTTTTTTTTTCTTAACGTTTAGTGCAAGTGACCAAGGGTGTCTTGCCCTTTATATATGCGTTGCTAAATAATGGATTTCTCAAAAAATTAAACCAACAACCTGGTGTATGATGTATTACTTAATAACTCCAATTCTTCTTTCTCTCGTTTTTGTAATCACTTTGAGATATTTCTATCGATCAAAAACAAAATTACCGCTTCCTCCAGGTCCATTTTCATGGCCCTTTATTGGAAATCTTTTCCATGTTGGTAGAAAACGTCCTCATGCTTCTCTAGCAAAGCTAGCTCAATCTCATGCTCCTGATTTAATGTCCTTAAGGTTCGGTACACGTCTCGTGGTCGTAGCCTCATCCCCTGCAGCTGCTGCTGCGGTTCTTAAAACACATGATCGTTTGCTTTCTGGTCGTTTCGTTTCTCATCCCATACGAGTTGAGGGATCGAAACTTCATAATGTGTCAACTGCTTTTTTAGAAGAGTGTGATGAGAATTGGAAAAACGTTCGAACTATATACAGGGGAGCCCTGTTTTCTAACAAAGCATTGGAATCACAAGTGAGTTTAAGGGAGAACAAAATCAGGGAAATGATGCAATATTTAGATACTAAAATGGGACAAGTGATTAAAATAAAGTTTGTGGTTTTTGTGACCGCGTTAAATGTGTTGGCTAATTTACTTCTTTCGGTAGATTTAATTGATTTTGAAGGAAAGGGAATTGGTGCAGGATTAACAGAGTACTTGCGTAAATTCACTGAGGCTGGTGGTATACTGGAGTTATCAGATTTGTATCCTGTTTTGGGTATTTTATGTACGGATTTGCAGGGGACGTATAAGAAACTTATCGGTATGTTTGATACTATTTGTGCTGTTTGGGGAGACATTGTTCAGGACAAAAGAAAAAGAGACAGTCAACCTTCATTGGATTCTGTAGATTTCGTAGATGCTTTGGTTAAAAATGGTTTCACTGATAAACATGTCAATGCATTGCTTTTGGTACGTCACTCAACTAATAATTATTATTTTTCAATTAAGGAAAATGATTTTATGATAATTTAGTAATTGTTCTCTATGTCTTTGATCTTTTAGGAAATATTTGCAGCTGGGACAGAATCTACGACTGCTACGAGTGAATGGATGCTAGTAGAACTCCTAAGAAAACCACAAGCCTTACAAAAACTCCGCGATGAAATATCACAAGTAGTAGGAGGAAGTAAGGGCATTATAAAGGAATCCGACTTGCCAAGCTTACCATACTTGGACGCTTGTTTTAAAGAGACACTAAGGTTGCATCCTCCTGGACCGTTGTTGCTCCCTCATCGTGCAGTGCAAACATGTGAAGTGATGGGGTACAGAATTCCCAGAAACACTCAAGTGTTGGTTAATATGTGGGCAATTGCAAGGGATTCTAAGATTTGGGACGATCCTTCGAGCTTTAAACCTGAAAGATTTATCAATTCAAAATTCGACAACAAAGGGCAAAAGTTTGAGTATATTCCTTTTGGTTCGGGGAGAAGAATATGTGCTGGAGAACCCTTGGCTTCGAGGTTTATTCCGTTAGCTGTTGCTTCATTGATCCATAAGTTCGATTGGATTCTGCCAAATGAAATAGATCCAGCTAAGATTAACATGGATGAGGTATTGGATGTCACCATGTTTAAGAAAGATTCACTTCTTGTTATTCCTAAATTGCGGAATGTGTGAGGGATCGATGATCACTATGTTGTAAAATATCCATTATCATTATGTTGATGTTCATGTTGTGTGTCTATGAATTATATATTGTGTCAAATTTAAGTCCTTAATTGTCTCTGAATAACTTCCAAGATATAAAACTTCTTGTGGTACAGTGAAGATGTTATTTCTCTTGTTTTAAAACTCTTTCCTACAACAAAATAGAACATATGTTGTTACAATTGAACGCTTACAATCATGTTATCGATAAAGCTATATATTGGTAATACCAACGTTCTGCCTATGGCAAGGCCCACAAAGAGTTAGAGTGGCCGGGTTGATGTCATGATCAAATATGATGCTTGCTTGGTGACTTAGTTAAAAAAATAAAATTACGTAAGCTATATCAATATTGTGTTACTTTACCAATGAATTAAGTTGAAGACATTAGTGTTCATAGCAAGTATGTAAATTGAAACATTTTTCTTCTTTTATAATCAAAGGAATCTAGAGGCGGGAGAAAAAAGGGTTCAACTGGACTTGAACAATTCTAAATTACTATATGTAAAAGAAAAAATTACAAAACTTGAAAGTTAGGCTTAAACTAAAAGTGTTCCTCTCAAAATTTTAAAATTATTTCATATACTCAATAATTTTAAGTGACCAAATTGCAATTTATTCTTTGTTTTAAAATAGATTCTTTTTTCTCGATGCATATGTTAAATATTTAATAAGAAGATTGAGTTAAAAAAAAAGAGAAGAAATTTGATCCATTTAAGATATAAATTCAATTTAATTGTTGAATTGTTGAACTCTAAGCAAGACACAAAATGGAACATTTGTAAGACTAAATATTTGAATACATAATATCAGGATCTTGAATACGATAATCTTACATAGAGATCGTTAGGAGCACATATCTGATGAGAAAGATATTATCACAGAGAAAAGCGGAAACGTTATTTGTAAATTAGTTTCTACCTCCTTGTCTTAACTATTTGTTATCACAACCGCCAGCGATAAAATTATTGTAGAGAATATGTGATAACTCTAATGGTGCGTGTGTGAGAGAAAGAGAATATTTCAAAGAAGTGGATGTTGGATGTGTATTTATACAAGATTAGGTAAGATTAGAAAATAGCAACCTTCACCATAAGGTACTAGTATCACGTTTTGACTTTAAAATGAGAAATCATTTGAGATGATTTAGGCATCATTTATTTTTAATAAGATTAAGGTGTCAAAATCTGAATATAATTAAGTTGTGCATTTTAATTTTAATACTTGACTCTAAATTCATGTTTTAAAAATTTGAATGATCTATTGACCCAACTATATATTTAATATTATTTTTACATATGGATGTATAAATTTGTCTTTATCTAAGAATTAATGAATAAAATTTATTAAAATGTAAAATTCATCTAATAATATATCAACAAAATATTATTATGTTATAAGAATATATAGTGTTGTTGTGATGAAATAAAATATGAAATAAAAACAATAAACTCAAATCACTATAATCAAATTACTATATTATCTTTTTTTACATGTGTTTGATGTGAAATCACTTGTTAAAGTTTTAAACATTAAGTTATCAAACATAGTTAATAATTGTGTCAAATTGTCACGAATTAAGATTTACTCCCCCCGTTTAAAAAAGAATGACTCTTTTCCTTGTTTTTGCAACTTTTTAACTTTAACTTTTCACGTGACATGTTTAAGACCACAAAGTTCAAGGATATTTTCGTACATTTGACATTACTTTAATTTATAACCATAAGATTAAAAAGTATTCTTTCTTTTCTTAAACTCCATTTCAAGTCAAACTAGGTCATTCTTTTTGAAACGGAAGGAGCATGTTGTTTTGTAACTTGAATATTTTAAATGTAGACATAACTCATGTATTTTAACGACGAGAGGGAGTTGGTTGGATGGTAAGCACCCCTCACTTTCAACACAGAGGTTGCGAGAATTCCAGTCACTAAGGGAGCAAAAGGGTGGGAGCTCTTAGGGACGGTAAAAAATGTATTAAAAATGGTAAAAATCCTTTCAAAACAATTTAATAAGGTATTGAGACTGCATTGTGTATGTTATACTAAACCGTCGCTTCGATAAAATACCCTCCACAAAATGACCCTTTTTTGGTAGTGATTAGTAAGACAATATCTAGGTGGCTTATGAAGGAATAAATTAATGCAAAAATCATACATAGCCTTTGTAGAGATATAATTTAATCAATAACATGTATATACTTGGTATTATTTTGAAGAATCAAATTCTTCTAGAATTAGAAAGAAGATTAGTTACACAAAAATACAAAATTGGTTACACTTCCTTTATTGTCCATTTGGTAGCGAAGAAATATACAGAAAACACTTTGCAGATCCTAGCTTCCTTTGCTTTGATTTCTTAAATCAAATTACCCAAGGCACTTTCTGTTAATTGACCTGTGAAAACAACTAAATTATTTTTCGTACTTCCATAAGGGTTTCTTAAAAATATTGAACTCACTGCTTTCCCTAAAAGACTCTATAATAAACAAAATTGTAATGTGAATTTGTTTGATTAATATTTATTCATATTGTGTGTTTGCACCAAACACCTAAATTTTATAATGACTTGGGAGGTTATTTTTAGAAATTTTAAATTTTTTGTTCATTGTGAATTAATTAATTGATGGGTAATGATAGATAAATGTCTTAATCGATAGTTAATGACTAAAGTTATAATTTATTGGAAAACTTACATAAATATATTATATTAAAAATATATATACCATTTATAGCAATGATATGTTTTTTTCTCTTGATCACTCTAATGCATTTATAATACAGTTTTAATGAATATTATAAAAAGTAATTTATTATTTACATATAATACAATTTTATTGATAGATAATACATTTATCGCATATTTTAGTACACTTATAATTCAATATGTCAAATTCTTACTAAACAAGCATAGTTATATTTTTAAATTAAAAAACAGTTATAAATTATATATATAGTATACATAATTCAATTTTAATACATATTGCAGATTTAACGTAGTGTTGTTATATATTGCAATATATGGTAATAAATAAAAAGTATTACTAAATTCAATTATCATTTATTAAAAGATGCCAATTCAAGTAATATTTTCTAAATTACTTAGAATGATACCTTTTAATAAATAATTACTGATTTTAGCGATATTTTTTTATTTTTTATCATTTATAGCAACACTATTTTAAGTCTGTAATATGTATTAAAAGGAAATTATGTAGCAATATATATGTATTATAACTATTTTTAAAAATATATTATGCCTGTTTTGTAAGCAATTGACACATTGTGTTATAAGTATATTAAAATGTGTGATAAATGTATTAATCATCAATAAATCTTGTATTATATGTGAATAATAAATTGTTCTTTATAATATGTATTAAAATTATATTATAAATATATTAAAAGTGATCTAGCGAAAAAAAAGTTATTGTTATAAATGATATACATTTTTTTAGTATAGTATAATTATGTAAGTTTTTCTAGAAACTATTTAAGGCCCCATTTAGCCTATATTTAATATAATAAATGAGTAAATTTATCACTTTTAATACATAAACAATTGAGAAAAGAAATAGAAAGGACAAGAATGAGGGCGAAGGGTTTTGGCATCACGACTTACGAACCGCTTCAGGTAAATTTCAACAGAAGCTTTCAATTTTTGCGTTCATTAATTTCTCTGCTAGGCTTTCCTTAATGCGGCACACATATGTATATATATATATAACAATATTACTCCCTCGGTTTTTAAAAATAAATGACGTCATTTTTTTGTGTGTTTAAAAAGAATGATTTTTTTCTATTTTTTATAATATTTTAATTTCAACTTTCTATGTATGATGTTTAAGCTATAAATTTAAAGTACAATTTAATTTATATATTCAATATAATTTTAATTTAAAATAATAAAATTCAAAAATTTTTATTAATTTTTTAAATTTCGTGTCAAATTAAAGTAGATCATTTTTTATAAAACGAACAAAATATATACTTGAATTGAATATATGTATAATGATAAGTAATGATTGTCAATTTGTCTCTTAATAGTTAAATAACAAATCACTGTGATAGATTGTAAATTGGGATACTTTTAGAATCAATTTGATAGTGGGTGAATCAGTGAATAATTATGACTAGTTGGGTGATTTGATTGTAGATAATTTGATGTGTATTGTTGAACATAGAAAAAAGAGAAAAGAAAAAATATTTGTCATAAATTGTAGAATAAAGTAAATGGAAATTGGTAGTTGTTCAACGTTGGTCCTGGGAAAATTGTGTGATTAGCTTTAGTGAAAAATTGACAGTGATTGCTAAATTATGTGTGATTAGCAGTTAGGAATTAGAATTGGAGATACAGTGAGGATAGGACGTATGTATTCTTAGGTTTGGTGGTGGTGTTTTTTCGTGGATGATTGATAATTTGGTTTAATTTTTTATTATTATCACATTATGAATTAAGTTTTGACATATTGAGATAGTAATTAAATATCAGATCTATCGTATCATATAAATATCATTTGAATTATAATACTGAAAAAGAATTGGAACTTAATTCTAAGCTTGAAACTTAGGAACTTGATTATAGATTAGGGCGATCTTTTGGGTCAAGACTAAACCTATAGTAATATGGGTGTTGTTAGTTTCAAAATTTTATCGTGAATATGTACTTGAATCGATTGCATTGATTTGGAAACTCAACCAAAAGGGAATGCTCAAGTCCTGGAGTGATTGTTCGGTTATTTGAGGCAAATGAATTTCTAAATCATTCTTAAGTGTATGAAATTTGTGTATTTCCTTGTATTATGTGTTTGGGAGTAATGAGAATTGGTGATGGTTGACTTGTTCATGTTGAATAATTTTAATGATGAGAAAAGGGTAATAAAAAGTTAATGCGATTAATTGTTGGTGTGTGATGTTTGAGAATGATTTGAAGTCTTATTGCTCAATTGTTGATGTTGTATCACAGTTACATTATTGTGAATCATGCTTTGTTATGAAAATGATTATCTCCTTATTATTTGTGTGAACATGTCATTTCATTGGTTCTGAGACATAGTTGTAATAAGTGTTATGTGATAAGAGGATGTACTATTTCAATGGACGTATTGCGCACGCGATG